AACGAAAACTCACCATACAGAACCACCAAATACTTGCAGGTTGAGAGTGACGATGAAGATGATGAAAACTGATGTTGAAAACCAGTGAGTTCTAAAACAACTTATGAAGAGATCCAGGATAAAGAAGCCCCAGATACCAAAAACAATCAACCCATCAAAATCAAGCAGTAATATTGTCCACCTTAAGATGCTTCTAAGATTAAAAAGAGACTCGGGATGATCCTGAAATGAAATCATCATATAATGACGAAGTAGTAAAAAACGTATCAGATATTTGCGCCGAGAATAACAGGATGATATACATGAGCAAAATATTTCTATAATGTAGAAATGTAGAGTACACATACAGCCACCATGGATAGTCTCAAAAATCTCTCCCATACTGTTTCATAAAATAGTATCAATATATTGTAGCTTACAGAAAATAAATTGACCTCTATATGTTGCTTGTAAAATTTTGTATGATCTTTTTATAAGCCACTATATAATATAGGTGATCTTATTATTTCAACTTCCTCATTACTATTCATTTGATTAATGTTTACAGAAAAAATGTGTTACCAAATTCCTATAAAGAACCATGTACAAAATACTCATTCAATTATCCATGACTGAATTTTTAAACAAAAATAAACCACCTAAGTACTGAATTATACACAAGACGTGGTCTGACAATCCGCAAATAAAAAAATTGATTTTTACTTAACAGAGAACTAAAAATCACACTACAAATCTCAAATACAATGACTTGACATTAAGTATGAGGACTTAAGATTTATGTTAATTAATGTTCAAAATGCTGCCAACGAGAGTGTCTGAAGCAATATGTATTCTGTTTGTTGACAGATAGGAACAGTTTTTGTATCCATAATTACACATAATAAAACAGTAGGGAATATTTTCCAAAATATGGAAAACTGGTCCACTGCACACACATCACCTTATGGATTTATCTAACTGCTTCCAGGCAAGACATGAGAAGCGAGACAAATACTTATGTTCTGGAATATATGAATTTTGGAAGAAAATACCACCATAGATGCCATTTTAAAAATGAGAGGAACAATCAGTATGAATATTACTAATGTGTGAGAACACCTAATACTTTAGTATTATCCACTTTCTGGAGAAGAAAGACACTGAAATATTTGTATTGGGGAGCAAACATGACAAGATTGAGGAGAAAGTCACAGAGAAGTTCTCCCTAGCAATATTAGGTCGCAATAAGGGAAATGAGACCAAGAAAGCAATTTAATGATAGAGAACTTCGAATCTTTTCCAAAAAAAATTAAACATCAAAAAACCATTCACAACCAAAATATTAAGTAAACAAATAAGTAAAATTGTATACTATCTCAACCTACAATATGGACTGAAAATTAAAGCAAAGTGCCCAGAAGTTCACTGCATTTGTCCTTGTTACCAAAAGGCATAAAATATTAATGTATGAAAGATTTTCCTTCCTCATTGTAACATACATTGTGGCAGGTTAAATAAATAAAGTGGACCCAACTGAACAATCAACACAGTACATTAACTGATGTTTCTGAGGGTTGCTACAATATAAAAAACAATATTCATAGGAAAAGTAGCAAGTTATCACAGCTATTACAGATGAAAAAAATTAATGTAAGAGTATAAAATAAGTAAAAACATTCCTTTCACATTTAGTAACAAAAAATTTCTGAAAGATGAAAAGGAGGACAACTCTATACAGAGGACCAAGATCAGATTTACACACACAATATAACATGTAGTCCCATTACTCCAAATTGTGACCCTTGGAGTTCCATCAACTTATTGATAAGGGCATTTTATAATATAGCTTGAATAGTTTGAAAGAAATTACATCAAACTAATCTTAGATTAACATACATGAGTATTATGAGAAGAACTTGATTTATCACATTTGGGTATCAATAAGCCAGAAAATAGATTTAAAAAACTTTAAACTTGGTCTAAATGTGTGTTATACAGTAGTATTAGTCCCATGTGTCTGACATGTTATATCTCAACAATAACCTTGTACTAGAACCCATGGTTAGAAGAAATAGGAAGTAAAATTTTGTGAAACTTATCAAGA